CCTGGTTCCCCCGGGGACTCCAACCCAGAACCCTCTGGTCCTGGTTCTTATGGGGACTATAACCCAGAACCCTCTGGCAGAAAGGCTGACCGTCTCTTCCACGGATTTAACCGTCGTTTATAAAGCCATAAATTAATCTGGTCAGAGCATAAAATTAGGAAGTAAATAAGGCTGAAACGTGGCTATCCAGTGTACGGATGATTCCAGAGAAAGGAAAACTTTTTGGCATGTAAACACATCTTTTTCCCTCTTTAAATAAACCAAATACCTTGAAAATTTCACGAAAATTGCTAACCACCACACCACCGTGCTGCCCAGTAAATTCACACAATAAAAATGTTGCATCGTTGCATTCTTTGTAAGTGGGCAAACCTGAAAAATCAGCAAGGGGTCAAATACTTATTTCCCCCACTGTATAAGGACTGTAGTGACCGGGGGGCTTCGTCATTAGTTCAAACAAACTCACCTTGTATCTCCTTATTGACACTAGATGGGAAAATATTAACAGTTCCCTTCGGGTCCAGGAAGGGGGAAAAAGCAACAACCAACATTTCAACCAAGCAGAAAAGTGCAGCAATAATGCAGAAGTCCTTTTCCCCCTGAGTGAAACGGTCAGTTTGCAATTCAGAATCACTCCAATGCACAAACAACTGGACCCTGTTTCTCACTGCGTGCGTCCACTTAAAGCCGCAAAAGCAAACAACCAGACGGTAAACAGGCCCCCCGGTAAGAGAACAAACCGGATCTGACCGCCCCAAAAAAAAAATAAAAAAAGTCGACATTAATTATTTTTAGTTTAATCGCTTTCTGCAAACTCAAAAGTTTTTTACTTTTTATTTTTTTACAAAACAAAGCCTAAATGATCGTCTTTTTGCTTCACTTTTGTTCACTCATGCTTCTCTAAGTCTCATTTTCTTTTCACATCCTAAACCCTTTTTCCTTGTATTTGAGAGATCATCAGCAGAATTTTCCATAAACCTCGTTTCCATCATCCTGTTTCCATCATTAGTATCCTTTCTGGTCTAAAACTGCTTAACCCTATAATGCCAAATGTATCATATTTGATACGGTTTCTGAAATGTTTTGTGTCTGGCACCTTTTGCATAATTTACTGGTAAAAACTTTGTTCAAAATCCTATTGTACACAATCAGATACACCTGATAACAGGGGGCAGAAGACTACACAAAAAATAATCTTTATTTATCGCACAGTAATAAATTATTAATATTAAAAATGTATTTCTGTTTTTTCTTTTTACATATTTTGTCAAAAGGCCAAATAAAGACTTCAAACCAAAAAAATGTAATTTTCTGTTTTGTTTTATTCTTGGATCGGGCTTTAGAGGGTTAATATCCACCTGATTTTTTGTCATTTTTTCATGAACTACTTGTGACGTGTGGCTTGGTGCTCGGCCTTTAAAAGCCTTTTAACTTCACTAACACTAATTATTTCCTCACAGATTTCTGATTTAATCTATTTGATTTGAACAATACATGTTAACGCACCCAACTGAGAGAGGTTTAAACACAGACTGTTGTAGATTTAAGCCTCTTTATCGTAATGTCAGAATACAGGCTGTCCACTTTTGACTGAGGAAGAAACATCTCCAGATCTTCTTCATTATTTAAGTTTGGTATTTGGAGTTTGGTTCAAGAACGGAGTTGATTTGAAGAAGGTTCAGGTTTGAAGCTCCTGCTCAATCTGAGACCTCCTCACTTCAGATTTTTCATGTGTTTCCACACAATCGGAGCCCCAGTTTGCATTTCCATCCAGGACTAATGGAAAAGCAGACGGAGGAGAGAAGAAATTGAAGAACCAAAGGAGAGAAGATGCTAATCATGGTGACTCAGTCATGCTGAAGGCTGTTTTCCCTTCAAACACAACTTCAGTTTCCACTTAAAAAAGAAATATACAACCAGATTTACAATTAAAAGTACCACATTTATAAAAAGAAGACACATTTCACCTCGTTTTTTTGTTTTTTATTTGGTCTGTAAACTGTGTTCAAGTGAGTTTGTCACCTGTGTAAGCCTCCTATACAGAAATTATAAGTTGAATTTATTATTCTAAGTTTAAGATATATTTCTGTTCTTATTTGTTTGTTTATTAGTACATTTTGAGTTAGACATATTTTGCCAATAATCTAGGCTTCCGTAGTGTCTGCAGGAAGTTCATGTTGTCATGGAAACACACATGTAAAATAAGCTATACGGTTGTTTTACTTTATGTAGGATCGTTTTTTTCCTTTTTACCTTCTTTCGTTGTTGCATTTCAAAATAACGAACAGGGTACAACTTCTGTAAACTGCTTTTCTACTCCTGGCTGCTTTTATCTGGTTTGCAGCTCAAAGATGTCTAAAATTTTTATTTATTTACATGTCTAAGTGGTTATGGTTAGAAAATAACTTTTAGATTGTGCATTGGAGATGTTAAAGTGAAGTTATATGACACAAAGGAACAATTCAACATTAAAAATGTGGAACTACACAAGTTGTAAACTGTCAATTAAGACGTTGTAGGGAAAAGGAGTGAGATTTTGAAGAGAATAGATTGACATTAGAAAAACTCAAGAAAAAGCTAATGAATCATAATTCAGGAAAGTGAAATGATGAAGAATTTGACACAATTCTGGTGAAAAGAATGAAAGGAAGTCAAGTGGAAAGGTCAACTCCCGGTTTTCTGCTCAGTAAATCAGATTGTGGATGAAGTAAAGCCAACAAATCCTCCCACTGGGCACCAGACCAAAGACACTTCACACATTTCCACATCAACCCACTTTCTCACAGCTGTTCCACATCTTTTTTTCCCTTTTTCAGACTTCTCTGACGCTTCAAGTTCAACGTTTTGGTTCCCAGATGTGATAAACTGAGGATTTTAATGAGCGATAATCAGGTAGAAATGGAAAATAATGTAGCCTATCGGTTTGATTCACATAAATACAACAAATGAACCAATTTATATAAAGAAAATATTGCAGAATTGGTGTGTTTTCGATGGAAAATTCGCACAGGCAGAAAAAAAGCTGAGACCTGGCCGCGCGTAAAGCTGGTTCCCCGCAGTTTAAAGCGTGGAAACGCGGCAGGAAACATCATTTTAACGCATTTCAACAAACAATATCTCCTACGCACGTCGTTTCCCATCCGTAGATATAAGATTTTGGCTACTTTAACCTCGTTTTTGCGCAATTATCGCTGCGCAAAAGACGGTAAATCCGCCCTGTGCACAAGCAGAAAAAAAGCTGAGACCTGGCCGTGCGTAAAGCTGGTTCCCCGCAGTTTAAAGCGTCGAAACGCAGCAGGAAACATCATTTTAACGCATTTCATCAAACAAAATCTCCTACGCACGTCGTGTCCCATCCGTGGATTACAGATTTTGGCTACTTTAACCTCGTTTTGGCGCAATTATCGCGGTATAAATCCGCCCTCTGCCACCTGTAGCACGGTCTTCATGCTGACGGGGGACACGATGGCGGTGCAGATCGATGGAAAATGCGCACAGGCAGAAAAAAGCGGAGATCCGGCCGTGCGTAAAGTTTATTCCCCGCAGTTTAAAGCGTGGAAATGCGGCAGGAAACATCATTTTTAACGCATTTGAATTGAATTGAATATACTTTATTGATCTCCAGGGAGAAATTGACTACATTTCAACAAACAATCTCCCACGCACGTCGTTTCCCATCCGTGGATATAAGATTTTGGCTACTTTAACCTCATTTTTGCGCAATTATCGCCGCGCAAACGACGCTTTAAACCCACCTGTAGCACGGTCTTCATGCTGACGGGGGACACGATGGCGGTGCAGATCCTCTCGCCGTTGCGCGTGACCTGGCCCATGCTGAAGAGCATCGGCGTGGCCAGGGCGAAGGACGCCAGCCACATGGCGCTGATGAGCTTCTTGGTGCGGCTCCGCGACATGATGCTCTTGGCCTTGAAGGGGTGGCAGATGGCCATGTAGCGCTCCGCGCTCAGGCTGCCGATGTTCAGGGCCGTGGCGTAGGAGCAGCTGTCCCGGAGAAAGTAGTACCCGCGGCACGCCGCGTCCCCGAACACCCACGGGTGGTGGAACCAGATGAAGTTGTACAGCTCCACGGGCATGGAGAAGAGCAGGATGAGGAGGTCCGACACGGCCAGGCTGGCCAGGTGGTAGTGGACGGTGCTCTGTAGGTTCTGCAGGCTCTTTTTGGTCAGCAGCGTGTAGAGGGTGACGGAATTACCGAGCGAACCCACGGCGAAAAGGGCCGCGTAGATCACGGTGACCGCCACCTTGGAGTAGATGTCCGTGTTGACTTCCAGGTCCTCCTCCCCCGTCTCCAAGTCCACCTCCGGTTTGTCCGTGTCGTTCCCGGTGGGAAACAGCGAGTTATTCCCGAAAAGCCTCTGCGCCAGCGCGCCAAAGTTGCGCTCCGACAGGGTGAAGTTTAAAGCCATTGCGCGTTTTTTTTCTTCTTTTTTTTTTTTAACAGGTGAAGAGCGGGGATAAGGACGATCTGAGTCCTCCCCCCCCCTGGCTTTGGAAAAACGGGATCGGTCCGTGGAAGTGGGCTTTTATATTTTGGCACGAGAAGCCGGCGCGCCACGCTATTGGCGCAACGGCGGGATGACGCACGAGCGGTGAACGGACCTCTCGCGACTTTTCACCCTGGAAACACGGACCCCGACAGACGAAAAACTCCTAGATTCTGTCTCGTAATGTTCCTAACGTTTCTCTCTTATGGAGGGAGGGGTTTATCCGCCCCCTCCTCCCTCAGTTAGACGCGGATAAAGGCGGTAAAAAAGGCGGATAAAGAGCGGTCCGTAATGCGCCGGATTGGGTCTAAAGAACCTCCCTGCGTCCGTGCACGCGCAGCCGTGCACGCGCGACTTCAGTTTTATGCGCAGAAACTCGCGATCGGTGTCATGCCCCGCAGGCACAAAAGCTCACGCGCACGGTGAAGCGCGTGTCTGACCGTGTTGTTGATGAGCATCTGACGAACTGTTTTTTTTTTTTCTTTTCCCCACACAGAGGAAATGCCTCTGTTCTCTAGTAGGAAACGTTACGGCCCCCGGGGAGATATTTTTCTTGCGGGATAATTTGTTTGGCTGACAGCATGAAACGTGGAGACTCAAAATGATTGACACGTGCTCATTGTGGGGTCTGCTGCAGTTTCTTTGAGGCTTCCTGGCATCAAACAGGGAATGAAAAGTTTGCATTTTCCTCTCAGATCTAAATCTACATAAAAAAAAAATCTATCTGCCTTCTTAAGGGGACATATTATGCAAAATCGAGTTTTTAATCATTTGATTGTGTACATTTGGGACTGTGGAGGGCCTATCAGCAGGCAAAGTGTGAAAAAAAAATGACTCGGTCATGTTTTTGTGGGCCGCCTCAGTCTGAATCCAGGAGATAAATCAGGAGGTTTCAGGAGTGGGTAGTTTCTGACGTCATTAGCTCTAGCTCATTATAATATTATTATTATTATAATATTAATATTATTATATATTATCTAGCTCATTATAATATTCCAGCCTTTCACCTGCATGTTGCCCCCCCCCTCAGCTTACTCCCCTATCTGTGGAGACGTCCTGGTAGCGTGAGCGTTAGCATGGTAGCGTTAGCATGGTAGCGTTAGCATGGTAGCGTTAGCATGGTAGCGTTAGCATGGTAGCGTTAGCGTGCCG